AGACAAGTACAGATTTTTGAAATATTCGCGAGCACATACACAGATGGGGATGTATCTGCCTTCCCCTTTCCTCTTTTTATATGTAAGCCTTGTATTGAAACTACGCAAGGAGAAAACAGCAGGGAAATAGTTTACCTACAATCAAACAAAAAACTCATTTTAGACATGATTACATCTATGAAAGCAATCATTTGAAGAGATGGTGAGTTTTCAAAGACAATCAGAATGGTCTCACTGTGTTCATTTTCCAGTCAGGCAAGAAACGCAATGTTCAATTATAGAAAAGAAGTAGAATCTGATTATGGGAATCAAACCAGAGTATCCTTATATAATATTCTGGATGATAACTACAAAGAGATTTTTAAAAGCAAACTCCTGTGCTGAGGAATTTGCGCAGTGTGGCTCTATCTCTCGTCTGCACTCACGCATCCAGTGCTATCTCCTTACAAAGCACAGCACAGAGGGGCAGGAGAGGCTGGGACAATTGGGGCCAGAGTCCTGGCAGCTGAGGCAGCTGAGGAGGAGCAGGCAGAGGCATCTTCAAGGACAACAGAAACCAGGCTTGTTTCCTCGAGTCCGTTCTATCCACCAATGTCCCCCATGTCATGCTCTAATTGGAGGAAAGTGGTAATATCTTTCCAGCATGGACCACTGCTGGCATTTCTCAGAGACTTCACTGACCATTCAGCACAAGCAGGGCTGCAGCAGGGCTAGGACAAACCTGGAACTAAAATCATATTCTTGGGAGCCTCACCGTATTCATAACAAACACTGTGCCATTGAACTTGTTAACGCCCTCATGTTAAATCAGAGGACCTAGTCAACGCATTAGACATGTACTGATAATATTCATGGCCATGACATAATATTTTACATTATAATTTTTAAATTAATTTAAAAATTCTCTAAAATAACCAATTCTTTTCAAAACTGATCCCCAAATGGATGAACTCTCTTAAATGTAGCCACTCAAAATTTTGATTTCAAGTTTGTGTTTTGGAGGTTTTCTCTAGTTGTTTAGGTTCCTTGTCAGAGTTTTGGTAACTCACAGTAATCTGTGCCTTCCACTTTTTATATCACAAGCAAATCATTAGGATATTCCTTCAAAGGATATTTTGCAACAGTGTAACAAGTGTGATAGTTTACATAAGGCCGTTTATAAGAAGTGTTCTATAATATTTTAGTAATTAAAAGATTTTATGCCCAAACCTAGGTATCCTATCACAATGTGCCTAACAGTATCTAATTTAGCATGGAAAGGTACACAGTAGATGTTTGATAAATGTGAGTTTAATTATAATGACTGTTACACAGAGTAACACTTCAAGGTGGTAGATACTTTCACAGAAAACAATTATTTCCCAACAATAGTATTTACAGGTAAAAACACCTTAAGAAACAGTGCTGAAAATTTTTAAATCAAACATATCATGTTGTTATTCCTTTAGCAAGGTAAGAACAGCAAGCTGCTTGTGACTAAAACTGTAAATAAGCTACTCATTCTCATACACAAACATCACGTTTACTATGAGGAACTATGGTCTTCTATTTGGGGTATAGATACAAAGACCAACTTTATCAACTAAAGTTCTAGCTTTACTTCCTGTGTCTCAGTTTTCTTACCTAAAGTAAAAATTGTTCTTTAATAAATTAAAATTATCTAAAGATGGTTATGCAAAAACCCCTTGCCTGTTGTAATGAATATTCTAATACAAGTAGTTTTGTCAGATGTCGGCCAAGTCTCAGCTGCTTTCATCTATAAGACTTGGTTTATAATTGCTGATCTTAACATTCCTGAGAACACACTTCCTAAATCATACTGTAATCTTAATTATTAGCCTAATTTTCCAACAAGTAAATAGGTTACCTTTTCGCATTATGAATAGTGACATTCCTCAATATAAAATATTAATAATGACAAAACTTAAATGAACACTAAAAGTAAGAAACATAAAATTTTAAATTACTATGTAATTAAACTAAATCTGCCTATAAATATATAGAATGAGGGATTTCAATAGTTCATTTTCTGAAGTTAAATGAACTCGTTTGAAATGTACCCTGTTATATATAACTCAACATTTCTTCCGACTCTCCTAAACACACTCCCATAACACTAACTTTGATTGATGATCACTTAGCCTGAAGTTTACTCTTTTATTTCAAAATATTCCAACTACTTATGTTTGAAAATGTCTACGTGGCATATTACTAAAATAAAGCCACCATCCTTTCGTGCACGAGCTACAAAGGAGTCTCATTGTGTCAGCGCCTCCAAAAGTTTCCCTGAGAAATAATATCCTTAAAACCATTCCCAATAAACCACTTAGCTTCTGTTCTGTTTTGATGACCCAAGTCTACGTTGAAATGACAAAATCAAAAAAACAAGTGTTCTTGTCAGAAAACAGGAAGAAAGGCGGGTTTTTTTTTCCAACCAAAAGGAAAACAAAGGGTTCCAGCAGCCTGCCCTGATTTATTTTTCCAATTTTAAATACCTTAAGAGCAGAGGAAGTTGCTACTGGCGTGGTAGTATTTCTAACAGTCAATAAATCTAAAATATTATGTGTGAATATTGGAATGAAGCCATTAAGAAGATTACAGCATGCAACACACCAGAGGGCCCACAGGAAAAGGGAACTAGTAATTCAGGACAACTGTGACCACTGACCTCTGAGCGGCCGTGGCCACTGGTCAATGTGACATGGTAATAGACTGCACATGCACACAGGGTCACCCAGCCTGTAAGCCTAACTTAAATGCTCTGGTGGACGCTTTAAAGAGGCCTCCTCTTAAATCTCAGTTAACTTACTAACTAATCAAACAAGGCTTCAAAAATATTTATTAATGTAGATCACACATTAAAAAAAATCGCTGTCTTTCAGGATTTTATCAGACCTCATTTAAAACATTCACCATATTAAGCTCTAAAGGGCGACGTTGAAAAAATGATGAAGATGAGGACTTTATTACAGATGAGTTGAACAACTGCTTAAACTAGTTTAGAAAACTCACAACTTTAAAAACAGCAACAGAAACCCCTCCTGTTTTCAGCAAATGACTTGGTCTCAGAGCCCGCTCTTGCAGAGTCTGCAGCTGTCCGCAAGTCTGCAGCCTTCAAATGGCAGCACTTTTGCAGCCTGCCTGCGCTGGCTGTAATGCTCCTTTTCCTACATGCTCACAATGGCAGTTAGCCTAAGGCAGTGCTAAACAAGCAGCATGGACTCTTCTGTAACTGTCTATATTTGTATTTGTGCATCTGTGGCTCTGGCTTAGCATCTCAATATCGTAATTACAAAAAAAGAAAGGAAGGAAGGAAGAAATATGCAAGAGAAGTACTTCTCTGGTTAAAAGCGATCCCCACTAGGCTGAGACTTCAAAGGCTCAAGCCAGCTCAGTGCACTATACAGATTTTAGTGTCACCTAGAGGAAGGCCGCCTCCCTCTTGCTCTTCTTTTTAGTAAACAACCCTTTCTCCTGAAGCGTAACAGTAGGGAATGTGCACACCATAAGGATAATGTTTTAGAAAAGCCGGAATTCTATTTTCATGGGAATTTCTCTGCCCAGTGGAGATGGGGTGGATGGATTCCTCAGTGCTTAGCCTACCTTTCCTAGCAGCCCAGTCTCTGCGAATCTCCTAATGGAGCAGCAGGCTCCACCGGTCTGAGTTTGGATGGTTCACACACAACGATTTTACGATTTTACTTTAGTAAATAAACGGTTCAGTTTAATGAGCCTAGAGGTCAAGGAATGGTCTGGTTATTGATAAGCAAAAGTAACATGCTTATCAAAGCTCCCATTTTCCTATCACTAGCCGCAAGAAGGATCTAGGCTGGTACTGATGTATTTTTTTAAATTTGGAGATTTTTAAATTCATCTTCTCAAGCCCCTTAATAAGGAGAAAATGGATATATAAAAAAAGATACTGCAATGCTTACTTTTAATTTTCAAATTTCAATAATGTTGAAAAGAATGGACACTTTGACTTTTTTTTTGCAAAAAGAAGAGAGCTATTTTTAAACTTATAACTATGTTATAAAGACATTTAAATAGCCATTAAATGGGTACAGAAATAACACGAGTTTGGAGTCTTGCCCTACTCTAAAGAACACAAAAGCCAAAAACTGCAATTTTACACAGATATTTAATATGAAATACAAAATATATCCCATTAAAAGCTGCAAACACAGCACACACACACACACACACACACACACACACACATGCACACACAAGATCAAAGACTTGGAGAGAACTGGCACTTAATTTATCAGCTTTACAGACAAAAGACAGTTTTCGTCATTTCAAAAGGATCAGATGTCTTTTATGACAAACTGGGCTCGCAGTTTAATTTACAAATAGAATTCTAAGTAAGCATTTTTTTGCTCCGCCAAAGCAGATGACAAACTAGGTTTTCATTATTGTGGCCCTCAGCAGGACAGGAAAGATTAAAATAAAACTGAAATAATTTAGAGAAAACAAATAAATGTTTCAGAAAGTTGAGAGAGATCAAAGCCAGAATTTCCTGACCCCAACTGTACAAGCATTTCTTATTATATTGACCAGTGCCATCAGATCATTAATTAAAAGGAAAAGCACTGGCAGGTGGCAGGGAAGCCAAAGCCGATAATTGGCCCCTTCTTCTCCTTGCCTTCAAAAACTCCCTCGTTCTTTTGCAAGACATGCCACCAGGCAGACAGAATGCCTACTTTGTAATACAATGATTAAGACGAGATGAAGGGACTCAATGTTTAAAGAAACTCTGCGTAATGAATGCATCTAGCTTTTTAATTATGATCCCGTTTTTACAATAAGGAATATGGTATCCCATTTAAAATCTAAACTGCCAAAAGGTAAAAATATTAAAAGTAGAATCTATATCGATTCTTCTTAAAACCCTTGCATACATTGACTTTAAAGGTTCAGACACAAGGTGGAAAAATAGTAACTTGAGGGTCCAGCAACAAACATTCTTGTTCACCACAGACATCCCCGGGACTTACCACATCGCTGGGTAGGTTGCTCAAGTCATTAAATGGTGATTCTAGAGTGTTTGTGTCAACATTTAACACAACCACATCTTCCAATGATTTATTTTTCACTCTCTGTTTAGAAAACACAATTATGAAAAAGAATCTTATTGTATTTTTCTTAAAAATTTATGATGAATTTGGAAACAAAAACTACCTTAGTGCATTAAGCTTAGGAAAATTAAAGAGGGAAATTCAGCATTATAATATAAACAACTTTGCTATCTGAAAAAGGAAATTTGACTATAACTCATTCAAAAAGATTTGCTTAAGATAGAAAACTTCCTCATCTAATATATAATTAAAGTAACTGGCAAAAATGTAGCATAGCACTTACAAAAACGACAGAGGAACTTCAAAATATAAAACCTGAAGCCTTTATGATCTGAATGTCAATCAAGATATGGGAATTTGTTTCCAGCTTCAGACCCATTTTAGCATAAATACATTGGAGAGAGAATATAAACTAATCACAAGTATACAGTACCATTTCAAGTGAATACATATGTTCCTATATAGCCATACCAATATGTATCCATGACGACCGAAAGTGAAATATGAAATGGACAGACTACTAATATATAATTTGCCAAGTATGTACCCACATGAATTTGTATGTAAAAAGTAAAAATTCGTAATCGCAGCACTTGGAAGGCAGAGGCAGGCTGATCTCTGGGTTTGAGGCCAGCCTGGTCTAGATAGTGAGTTCCAAGACAGGCAGGGCTACACACACACACACACACACACACACACACACACAAAGAAAAAGAAAAAAAATCCTGTCTTGGGGGCAAACATAATAAATAAAATTTAATAGTTCATCAAATTGACTTATCTTTTCAAGTTGTTTGAAATTTTAGTAAAATATTATCTCGATAGGTTTACAAATAATAGGAAATAATAAAACATTTATCTAAGTTATTATACCTGCAAGGGTATAGTTTGTTTTCTGTTTCACCATCTACTTAAATTACTGAATTCTACTGTTGCTAGACCTCTCAGCTGTAAGGAATGCACTCAAGTAATGAATACAGCCACGCCCGAGTCCAGAATTCCACACGCATAGGGCCATTCCTGTGAAGTACTTTTAGTTAAGTGTATCTTCTTTCTGGGGAGCGGAGTGACAGACAAGAGAGACAGACAGACAGTCAAGACAGACAGAGAGGAAGACAGAGAAGAGAGACAGATAGACAGAGAAGAGAGAGAGACAGACAGATAGACAGACAGACAGACAGACAGAGAAGAGAAAAGAGGGGGGTGGAGCCTTTATGTGGCCCTGGCTGTCCTGGAATGCTATGTAGGCCAAGCCAATCTTGAACTCACAGAGATCCTCCTGCCTCTGTCTCCAAAATGCTGTGATTAAAGAAAGCTCCAGTAGCTAAATCCTTCAATTTTAAACTAATTTAACCAATTATTTTGTACAAGTTGATTTTGATCAAAGTGTCTCTGATCCATTCTGGATTTCAAATCTTTTGAGTATTTTGTATTAAATGTTAAATTTCCCACAGAAATGATGACTGCAGATGAGGAATTTCTGTGTTTAGAAATCCACAATGCAGGCTATATATTCTCAAGGGACAATGGTTCTAAAACCTGTCTTGTAAAAGATACTGCAATTACTAAAAACTCAGAATTAAAAGATGGCTTCCTCTAAGTTTTTTATCAAAAAATCATTTCTGGTGATATAACTGACATCCTATAAAAATGTCTAAAAAAACACAAATTTCCCATTTTCATGTGTACATGTTTAAAAAGTTTAAATGTATAACTATGCCATTATATAAACTAACTATAATTTTAATAATTTATAAGCAAAATATATAATGACATTTATTCAGAAAAAGTATGCATAATATAATGACCATTTCACTCTTTTGGGTGTTCTTATACCAGAGAAACTGATACAATCCAGAAGACTAACTCTATTTTTTTTTCCAATGACAAATGAGTTTTTTCAAACTTTAAGATAAGGGCTATGTACCACCAAGGTGTTTTTGATGACATTATTGCAAAAGTCTGATTAATGGTGTAAATGTGATACATAGGCTTTTTCCAATTGCTTTTCATTTTAAGGCAGATAATAACTGAATATTAAATTTTTTCAAGAGGCCACTAGATAAAAGTAAAAAAAAAAAACAAAAAAAAACCTGTTCATTACTAACAAATAGAAACCCCAATGCTAGAATAAGCAAAGTGGGAAAGTAGATCACAATTTAACTATCTGAAAATACCGACATTAATTTTCTGTTTTTTTTTTTCTTCTCCAAATCAAGTATTAGCTGTGCCTTCTCTACATGGACATGCAAGTCTGACATGGGACCTCTTCCTCTGTCTCCTATTTCTACAGCTCATATGTCTATGGGGTGCAACTTAAAGCATGAAAATAGCAATGCTTATTCAGAAAGTAAGAGCACAGTGCTGGACACATGATGTCTAAGACTCTGTCGTGTGCTCCGTGGGGTTTACCCTTGTCCACCCTGAGGTACACACTCACCTTGCATGCTAGTGTACTGGAATGGCACTGGGCAGTGCGCACAGAACTTTAGGAAGGGGGACAATTCTGCCATTCAGAGTCCCGTGCGGGTGAAAATAAACAAGCCCACCCTTGTATCTGCAGCTTCCAAGTTGCTCAGCTAAAGACTTAGTACTAACCTCACCCAGAAGTCTCGTTTTCAGGGAAAACAAAATCTGTTTCCCTGATTTCACAAATAAACGTCTATTTGAAAAAGATGTTTTTTTTTTTTTTTTCATCATTCTTTACTCACAATTAAGTAAAAACAAGAGAAAGTTTCAAAGAACACTTATTTAGAGCCTGGAGGTTTTTATACAATTAAAAATACTAGCTGACACTCTTATGAACAAAAAGACAACAGTACTTTTTAGTTTTCCTCCAAAAACAGATGCAATTGCTAAACAAAGGCAAAAAATTACCAAGCACTGAATCACATATTAACTGCATAAATGCCTAAATTCCATTTAAAGCACATATATTATAAAGTGAAGATAAAAAATTTAATTTAAAACTTTGGTAGTGACATAATGAAGAATGAATTATCTTACTTTAGTTTAGGAAAATTGTCAGGTGATACGCACCTGGTTTAAAGGAAGTTCAGACGCACCGTCTCCCCCCCCCCCCCCTGTCAACACGCTGAGTGCAGGCTAATAAATGAGATAAGCACAGCACAGAAATGCGTGGAAAATTCTCACGCTCTAATTGTGACTCTTAACGTCCCACTTCGTAAAAGGAACCAACTAAAAGTTAGGATGCTCTTTTTCTTTAGAACTGTGTTTTTCAAAAAGTGAAAAATCCACTTCAGGAAAAGATAGGGGAAGAAAATAATTTAATTATTAATTGTCCAAGAATTATTTTAGATTTAAACTTTCTTTGTAAGTGGCCAATAAGTATGTGATAAATTAAATGAAATAGCTAACATGCTCCCTCCCTCCATCGTAATTTGAAAAAGTCTAATTTATTTATTCTAAAGGTTGTTGAAGAATCATTCCACACACCCAAAATTAACATAAGATCACTCTCTCCAATTTTAAATTATTTTCATATCTACAAGTAAATCCATTATAAAATTTTGTGTACTACTAATATATTTATTAAAAATCAAACTGTTACTTTTAAGAAAAAAAAACCCAAGCAAATAATTTCATGAGAGTCAAACTAGTGAAATTCAGGTTATATGCTAACTGACCTAATCACAGAATAATTATTTATATGCTAATAGCTCATTTCTTACACTGTTTACTTAGCTTATAATAGTTTCTTAAAATTAATAAAGCATGAGGAGTCACAAATTTATCCCAGACTTCACTATTAAAGACATGTTAGACCTACTAAAATGCATTATAATCTACACAAATCTGTTTTTCAGTAATAATGGAACAGAATGAGTTATTGCCCTAGCATTTTGCAAAAAATAAAAAAAATGTTTCAAACTCGAGAATAGGTAGAATTTTATAATTAAACCTTTCTCAGGGATAGTGCTCTATCTAAGTAAGAATTTTTTCTGACCAAAGGAAAGACTAGTATCAGCAACTAGCAAGAAAACCACACCTCTTCATCGGTATCTCCGTTGGCAATTGTGTGGCATTATTGACGTTATTCAGTGCAAACAGCAAAAGAGAAATTTGTTTGAGTGTAACTGGCATCAGCAAGCATTATGTCACTCAGCTGACTCTAATCTTACGTTTTAGCCTTTTGGTAATTGATATGCCATATTTTCATATTTTTCCTTTGGTGGAGTGGTCTTGGTTTTAGTTTTTTGAGACAGAGTTTCTCTGTGTAACCTAGACTGTCCTGGAACTCTCTTTGTAGACCAATCTGACCTTGAACTCACGGAGATCCACCTGCCTCTGCCTCCTGGGTGTTGGGATTAAAGGTTCATGCCACCACACACACATGCCAATCTTACAAGAAGTGCCTTGCACCGTGGGGATCCTTTCTCAGCCCCTTAAGGACTAGCCACCACATCCTGGTGAATATGCTTATAGTATGCTAAACTCACATTTTGAAAATCAACTGATAAACTGAAAATGATGAAGTGTGTAAAAGGAAACTTTGACTCGGTGACTCATAAGCACATAAAATTTAATATGAAGATATTGTACTAAATATGAGATAAAGAAAATCTCACATTGCAAGAAATCAGCGGTTCTTCAGGGAACAAGGACAGTAGCATTAAAACTGACCGTGACGTCAAACACATTTCCATGGGTTTCATGCCATCGCATGCAAACCAGTATACCTCATAAACTGAAGAGATTCCAGTGACATTTCTGAAAATGACCCCGTAAGAATATCCACAACGTCAGTCAAGTACATCTTAGTGTTAGTTGAAAGGGCTTTAAATAAACCTTTATCTATTATTTCTAATAAGTTAGTTCCATAATTATCTTACTGAGAAAGATACTCACCTCTATGAGACTGGAGTGTATTCCAATCAGGTATGGCATTGGGGCACTAAATTAAAAATATACATGTATGTATAGAGTCATTTTCATTGAAACTCAAACAACATAAAAGCAATTCAACATAAAAGCTAACTTTTTGAATTTATTCAAAATTACTCAACATATAATAGTTATATTTCATCTTACAGGCCATTATTATTTAAGAGGTTTGTTTATATAAAGAAATCTCTAAATCACTTATTATTAAATAAAAAGTTCTATGCCTAAACAACATGTTTGACTTAACAAGACTATCAGGGTATAGGTTCATTGAATATTTTCCAAATACTTGATAGCTAATATGTTCTAAACAGTCATCAAATGTATCTACATTTCTTTCATATTCTTATTCAATTTGATTAATTCTGTTATTTTAATGGATCACCATTGGCATACCTAATATGTCACTTAATACCTACTGTGCCAGACTACCAGTAAGGTATCACATAATCATCTCATCCTGTCTTCACTATTCTAGAACCAAGATGTGGACATCGTAAGTCCCCTGTGTGCTCCTGACCTCATTCATACTCAGATCATTTTACTTTCATAAACATTTTTTTTTTCAAGACAGGGTTTCTCTGTGTAGCCCTGGCTGTGCAAGAACTCACTCTGTAGACCAGGCTGGTCTTGAACTCACAGAGGTTCACCTGCCTCTGCCTCCCAAGTGCTGGGATTAAAAGTGTGCACCACCAACGCCCAGATACCAATATAATAATTTTAATTTAAAAAAAATTCAAGTCTAAGAGTGGTTTTGAATTAACTATTTCAGGTCATGATTTCTGGAGTATACCAGGTCCAGATCCATGGATAGAAACCTAAGCACAGTGATAAAGAATGTAGATGGATTACATTTCCTCCTGGATCTTACACTCCATCAGAAAATAAAACATTTTAATATATAACACATGAATTAGGAAAATATTAGAAACAATTGTTAGGAAATACAAGAAAATTCATTTGAAATTTGAAACTAAATTATAAACAGAAAAAGCATGAGAACAAATAGGCGTCTATGAAGATGATAAAAATGAAAAACTAATATGAGAACAAATAACTTTTTTAGAAACACATTCCAGGGAAACCTTTTACCGATGACTCTGACCTTTTCTTCTAATGCAAATCCTGTTTCTCAAAGGTTTATATAATGTTTTGAACAACACTGTCATTACACAGGACTGCTCAGGCTCTGCCCCAGATGCCCCGGATGCCCACTTTCCTGCAGAGGTCTCAAATCATCTCAGAACGTTCTGAGTTTAGTTGGTTAATGACACCAAAAAATAATCTCAATAACCAGAATCCCAGGAACCGTGGGCTCTCTTGTTTATTGTTACTGTGTACATGCAGAACCCCACTATCACTGTGTTAACTCTCGTTCCCAGCTGTCTTTGCTCCTTGTGTAGCCTGGTTCCTTCACATTCTAGTAAAATGGCCACACAACGGACCGTCAGAATGCTGTAAGCCTCACTTGACTATCCGCATGCCTTAAACTCCTTAGGAACTAGCAGATTTTCCATCTTCAAAAGGAAATAAAAACAAATGTGGAAGGTGTGCTTTTGCTGGTGGACAGGAAAGCTGGCTATTGTCCTAGTCCAAGTTCTTGTCCCTGGGTTCCTTCTACAGCTCCACAGAAAACATAAAATTCAGATCAAAGTGTAGGGCTCCAAGGGCAGCTTTGGGAAATCGTCACAAAACAAGCTGGCCAACTCACAGTATCTTAAAAATGCCAGGTCCACCAAACATCAAAGATAGTATAGCAATATTAAAATCATTATGCGAACTTCCAGTTCCACTGAAGTTTAGAATATTTTACCAAGTTAGGTTTATAACAGAAAAAGTCCATAGTATCTTAAATTCCAAAGAATATTTTAATAGGAGTGTTAATCAAAATACATCTTGTAAACTAAGATGTATACAAATGTTGGACAAACCCTGAGTAGACTAGCATTTCATAAAGCAAGAGTCTAAACTGATCAATGATCCTAAGAAACACATCCAGAAAAATCCTTTGAAATGTTTCTGAAAGACATTTGCTTTCCGATATGCAAATACTAATGTTCATATAAATTAAGCTAGAATTAAAATTATATAGTAGCATGCTCCTATGACAAATTTAACAAAGTATCAACTCAAAACTCTTTCATTCATGGTATCACTGAGCATCACTGTAGGTTTTCTTCTCACTAATTTGTGGCAAATTCCTAAACTTACAGATGTTTGAATTAAAAATGCTGGAGTATAACTTTCTAAAATCATTATGATATTTGAAAGGATACAATGTTTATAGAGTCAAATGGACAGGTGTTTCTTTCCCACTGGACTGTATATATGGTAGGAAAGTCCCTTTGCAATGCCAGCTGGACCATCCATGCACCTGATGAGGGTGCTGGTACATCAGGAAGAGATCAAGGGTGATGCAGATACTCCATTATCCACGTGTAAGCCTGTCTTCAAGCCCTACTGCCTGCGACATTATTTAGGAAAGACAGTACAGACGACTCTAAGCTATTTCTTCTTTGTGTAGAATCTTTACTCAAATTCACTTTCTTTTCTCTTCTTGAGCTACTTACAAAGAAGCGTCCCTGACATACACCATTGCAGCAATCAGGGTGGACTGGAAGAATATGATGATTTTTTATTTACTTTTTTCCTTAGAAACCAAATCTGATAGTTTCAAAGAAATAGACCAGAGACTCCACCTGAATGACTTACTTAAGCCTGCTTGAGCAGATGATAATCTATGGTAATAATCTACGACAGTCTTACGGCCACACTTCCTCCTGTATGGTCATGGGTGGTTTAGACAGTTTTGCAGTATCTGGCAAGTGATGGCCATGCTGGAGTACTGTTCTTTTTCTTGACTAAGGGGAAAACACGGGATATACCACTTCCTCCTAACAGCTCTCCTGAAGTTAGCAAGAATGCTGTCCAGTTATTGCTTCAGTTGCCACCCATGTCCCTTTGAGTGGCTGCTACAGCAATCATGGTTATTCAGTACTTGGATGTGTGCATGGAAGTGTCCAGAGAGCTATGTGTATGTATTTATTTCTTCCAGTACATAAACAAGTTAAGAAACTTATTCATTACATTACATATTCTCAGCTTGCCAAATAGGTAGTAGTCACTAAATGATGGAGGGATGAGTGGGTGGGTGGATGGGTGGGTGGGTGCATTAATGGACCAACCAATAATGTAATGAGTGTCAAAGGACCAAGATGTGATACTCATCCCTGGTCACAAGAGGGCATTATGGTTCTCCAAAGTTGATGGCACATCACCAACACCAGGTGCAAACAAAAAATGTTTTGTGGGTCCATGACTATTTCAGGACTTGCAGCATCCCAATCACTCTGAAAAGTTAACCAAGATACAGGTAATCCTCAAAATAATAATAATAATAATAATAATAATAATAATAATAATAATAATAATAAATGTGGCCCCATTTGGATCTTGATGTACATTTTTTTGTTTGATGATTTTGAGACTGAGGGGATAACTCCCATTTTTCTTCATTCAGCATATATCAGGATGATCCTAATATCAAGGGTATAAATGGAACAGGGTCATTTTCCCTAGGAAAAGGCTTCTTCATCGGTCATATTTTCTGACAATAGAAGGAAGTCACACAGAGGAGTTGTAGGTCCTTCACAAAAGTTGAGCCCATCATATGTGTTTAAGGCTCAGAGCGTTTTTCAAATAGTTCCTGTTTGGACGCTACAGACAGCATGGAGGCAAAGGGGCTTGTCCTAAGGACTATTTCTGGCGTTAGGAGCAAGCAAGCTATAAGAAAGAAAGGGGAGAGAGGGCGAGCTTCTTCAAGTAGACCGAAGCAGCAGTAAAGACTTGACAGGAAGGCCAGAATCAAGAAAATAGTTCTGGAAAGAATTCGTGTGTCATTGATAGTTTAAAATGATGTTTAAGGAAATTTTGAACATGTCACACTACACAGAACTGAGTAAAAGGTATGTTATCGTAAGAAGTCAGAACACTTTTAATAGAAAAATTATGTAGCAAGTACTATTGCAAAATGTAATTATACTGCTATAATTTCTTCTCAAAATGAACTTAATTGTATAAGACTTTTAGAAAAGAGTACTTTAAATGTCTAGTTACAGGACACTTGTATGCAAGAATCTACTGTCTACACCATCACAAACCAACTGCATTCGCTGTCTTTAAGGGGGAAAACTACTTTAAATGTGTTGATCAAAAGGGAAACTCTAAAATGAATAACGAGAAACTCGCTTATCGATCTGACATTATACTTAGATTTGTGCACATCACAATTCGCAACATAATTAAATTACACCCTGTAGTCTACAAAACTATGTTTCCTGTCAAGTTGCCTAAGGAACAACAGTGTTGAGTCACAGCGTGAGCGGAACTATTGCTCACTATGGAAACACACCGTGCAGCACTGTAACCAATCTGGACAAGCACAAGCATTGTTCTAAAGAAGGCTAGTCAGAGGGCCTTAATACAACACTTACCAGTCCTTTCTACAAACATCGTATATTTAAATAATCGCTATCCTTAAAGAGCTTTAAATAACGTCTTTCATGAAAATATTAAATAAATATATTAATTCCAAAAGACTTTGATTTTTATTAATACTAGCTTTGATAAAAGAAAATTATCAGTGCCAAATGATTTCTCTCTCTCTCTCTCTCTCTCTCTCTCTCTCTCTCTCTCTCTCTCTCTCTCTCTGTGTGTGTGTGTGTGTGTATAGCATGCATGTATACAAAGGTATGGTTCAGAGAAAGAAATCTCAACAAATTTCTTAAAAATTACCTATTCCTGCAGGTGATCACATAGCGAATACCATCCTTTACCCTCAAGTACCAAAATGACTGCATCAGACGTTAGTTCTTGAGTAGCTTCGTTATACACAACGAAGGCTGCTTTGTAGTCTACTCCTTGTCTAGCCTTACTATATCCAAGCCTTGCTCTATTCTAGTCAGAGAGAGCAAGGAGGCCATGGCCATTGTCTAGCTTCCAGTGGCCTGCTTGGCCTCACATTACTGGACTCACTGGGAGCTCCCGAAAGCTCCCAGTCACAGTGACTCTCACTTTCCATGGTTTTTCAAGGTTCCTTTAGGCTGACACTTTGCCTCATACCAGACTCTCAAAAACTCCTGTAACTAGAAACAATTGCTCTGACAATACCGTTTTCGGCGTTCTACTGAGAAGAGAGGAGGTGAAGAAAAGGGTGTCACAGAAAAAGGTATGAACGTTTGTCCTCATAGAGCCCATTGGATTATGGGTAGATGTGACAGATGCATTTTGATACCTGGGATATTGTTCTCTGACACCCAGAACCCTTATATAATATTTGAGCCACAAAATGTAATTAATTTTCTTACTTACACGTCTTTTCTTTTTTCTAAATGATCACAGAATACAATTGCAAAATCTAGAGAACTACATTTGCCAAATCTAAATTTTTGCTATCTTTGGAAGAAACTGTTCTGATACATACATACATACAATATTCTCTTATACTTACAACAAATCTGAAAGTCGAGTTTCTGTGATTTCTTTGACCTATAACTGACTGTAATATAAAGATCTTTTTCTTTCACTTTCTTCATGGTGAACTGTAGGCTGAGGGGAGTCTGACGGAGGCCAGCTTACCAGCAGTAGTCCAGCAGGTGTGGGGGCAGCACAGGGATGTATATGTGTTGCCAGTACATCGGGTACAGCAGAGCAGCCGATCCATGGAGACAGGCAGTTAACTAAAATTCACAGAAGGGGAACAAGAATGAGGAGCTGCTGACCCTCTAAAGAAAAAGGCATGTCCAAGGTATCAGAGACGAGCGATCATCATAGAACAGTTTACACAGTGACATGGCTCTCACCGCTACATGGAAAAGCCGTGTCTCAAAGGTCCCTCTGAAAAACACACAAACAGCAAAAGGAGTTTCTTGGGGATCATCTGCATATTTTTATATTCAACTTGAAAATATAGTTAGGGCTAAATTCCGGACCATATATAAAACTAAAACATGAGTGGGTCTCTTAAAACGTATTGTAGGCAATGACAAGTTGTGCAGCCCAGTTTGTGCATCGCTCAGATTAACACAACACGATTAAATATGGAAAGAAGAGAGGCTGAAAGCTCCTGAGGGATATCATTAGGGCAAATTGCCAAAGAATGAAACATGAGCCAGTCAGGAGAGTCTGGAAGCTGTGATAATACCAGGGGACTTGAATGTTCGACAGTTGGAGCTTCAGTAATGTGTGAACTGTGGGTTATGGTATCAAGAGACGCTGCTCACTGACACATAGAATGTCACTATTGACCAGCGAGCTGCCCAAGCTTGACAGCTGTACTACAGGAAGCCAAGTATATCATAATTTCATATTTAAACTGCTCATTCCAGATTAACATTTTGCTTCCCAGCTTTAGATCACAGCGGCTGTAATTACACTGTTGCTGCTTTAGAGGTAATTGCCATTTTAATTGTTGTGTTTGGGCAAGCAGTTAATTAAAAATTTTTAATGCTTAATGAAGGGATACCACTCTCTTCTCCCTCCTAACTAATCCTCATCCATATTTCTTTATGTGTGGCTTCTATTTTAAAAAATTACTATAGTTATAAGGTATGTTTTTACTGATTAAAGTAGCAATTAAACCAATGTTGCTTTTCATTGTTTTAAAGTTTTATTAGTCTCCATTTCAAGTTTCTCAATTAAGTCATTTTATTTAACTTGAAACTAAGAATTTTAAAAAATTGTATGAAAACGAACCACAGACTCTCCATAAGGAAATAGCTCCATCTTTTTAAAAAGAAGTTAAAAATATAAACACAATAAGACAATACACATACACAAAGTAATCAAAATCTCATTAGCAGCATCATTGTTCTACCTGCAATGTAAAATAGGTGCATTCAATTAAAAAATCAATTAGGCATTAAGATAATGTAGTCTAAAGTAAAAACACTACAATTTTCAATAAGTCAGATGTTTTCATCAAGGTTAGGTGACAGACAATGCAGTCTGACACAAATTTACTATCTGGTACAGACACAGGATCATTCCCTTGCCTTCCTTCCATACAAGCTTTGTTAGTTTAGCACAACACTCTTCCAATAAGTGATATTTTTGATTCCTTAATTACAGCAAGCATTATGTCTCTAGGAGGCTTCTACATTTAACTCGTACAGGCCAAGGATTTGAGGAGGTCACATAGCAGGCTGGAGAGCCCAAAGATGACGACGCACTCTGTCAAACTCTCCAAGAGCTCTCAGATCTTGGATAGGAACTGCCTGAAAAACTTTATGTCCTCTTGAAAGGCAAAGTTATGTGCTTTCTCCGTGTGGGAACAGGTGACTTTTGAGACATCTCGTTTACAACGTCACAAAGGAAGGCTTCCCTTTCTGACTGAGAAGAGAAACGTGAAGCAAAAGGAAAAGCCATCTCAGAATGTTCAGGGACCAGGAGGGTAAGGTTTCACCGAGTTCATGCAGAGCACACAATACAACGGCCCATGCCCTGTAGCTACCCCTGTACACAAGCTGGCCCTTCCTAAACATGTTACTCAACATTCACCAACAAACAATGCCATTGTGTGGCAGGAGATGGGCTGGCTTCTTACAAGATGCCTTCTAAGACCCTAGACAGCTGAGTCACAAATCCCAGCACTGGCCAGTAATGGGCATGGGACACCTCGCTTATCCAGCCTACCAGAGGAGAATGAAGTCATACAACCCTTGGAAAATTCCTAGAAGCAGATAGGGAAGAGGAAAAGGAAAGCATATATGGCAGTCTCTTTTTAACTGTTGCCTGCATCACTTGAACGAACGAATGAATGAATGAATGAATGAATGAATGAATGAATGAATGAATATAGCTACTGCAAGTCTTATTCATTCATTATATATCAAGTTCAGGCTTATGTGGGTCTTTAAGGAATGACTTCCCTAATAAAAGCAATTTTTATTAGAAACTGATCTTATATTTATGAAGAAAGAAAACTAGAGAAGATACAATATTCACTATTCACCCAATAGTACCCAAGAGCTATAAATTCAAAAGACTGAGCAATCGTTAGAGCATGAAGTCAAGAGGAAACAGCAAAGTTTCAAGTAAAGAAAGTCAATTATTAAAAATGTCTACAAAACTAAGCATACACACGTAGGCTGCACGAAATCTAAGTTTTGGTTGAACCAGACACAATCAGAGCTCTAAGGCTAACAATCTGCATGGCTTGTGATAACCAGTCTCAGGCTCCTGTTCTTTAACATGGAAAGTTTACAGTAGATCGTGCGTAAGTATTGTCTGCACAGGTCAAACATCGATTTTAGCATTTCATATTCTTAGTAAAAGTTACTAATCCAACCCAGATGGTCCATAATATCTACAGTCTACCTATAGAATACATCTGAAGATTAAGTCTAAATGTTTTAAAGTCTATTAGTGGCTTTGAAGTCAGAGAAATCCTAACATTTGTTTACATCAACAAAAGAGTTAGTTCCTTCTCCATGCTGGCCCATGTCCCACTAGACAACAAACACACCAGACTAAACATATGGGCTCCCTGTCCTGATAAAGCTTACACGTCTTGGGAAAGGCTAGCAATAAGGATATCATACCTTGCAAGTTGGGCATGATCCTTATCTAAAGTTTTCAAACCCCAAGTCCTCCAAACTCTTCTATTTATGTTTTTAAATGCCAACATGACAGCAGGTGGAAAACTCCACATCAGACCTCACACATCACGTCCCAGTCAAAATGCAAATGCACTAAAAATACTGTTGTTTAAAAATGCCTTCAGGTTACATGGCCAAGGAACATATGAAACTTGAACGAATTATGTTTGGGTTCAGATGCCATAGTCAAAATATTTCATAATGTATCTGCAAATATTTCAAAATCAAAGCAATCCAAAACCCCTGGTTCCAAGTATTCCAGACAAAAGGTCGGTCATCAAGCTGTCAGTCAGAAATGCTCTGAGGAAACCTCCAACAGGGTACTGCACAACAGCAACAGCAGAGAAGCTCTTCTGGACAAAGGACTGCAGGAGAACCCTGAGGTGGCCTGGACCCAATGAAGTAAGAGAACCTCCAACAATTATCGGTCTGGCTCGTGACAAGGTTAGGGTTCCACACTGCTATTCTACTAGCTAGTAGTTTCTTTAATCCCACAGTATTTGTTTAATATTGGGATCAAGTGGAAATGTTCGGGGGAAACAATGATTTTACAGATGGTAAAGGCAGCTAAATTACATTTAGAGCAGTTTTAGATTCAGAGCAAAACACATACAGCAAAACACAGTTTTCCCACAAGCACAGCCTTTGTCATTAGCAACGTCTCCCAGTAAATGGTGCCAGATCAGGGAGGCTACATGAACTCAGTGTTTCTGCTAATCCTCTCATAGTGTTCTGCCCTGTGTACATCTGGACAAGTTTCCAATGACTCACACCCTCAAATATAAACCTACAAAGTATGCAGAAGAACTATAGAAGGACAACTGCAAGTCAATTATGAAAGAAAGCAAATAATAAACTGTAGTATTAGCCCATGTTTGTGAATAGGGAGGGATGGAGGGAGGGAGGAGGTACTGACCAGTAAACAGTAGTGAAAGCTACACCTGAGTAGGGGCTGCTGTCACGCTCACACAAAGAGCTCCAGACCTTGGCAAATAAGAAAACCTAATTTAACACAGGCTTAAGACCTTACCACACTTCATCAAGCAATATACACAGGTAGCGAATGAGCATCTCACACCATCAGGGAAATACAGACCGGAGCAACACATCCCCACCCCCACGGACAGCCAAAGAGCACTGACAAGGGCCACAGAAACAATGCTGTGCTGGTGGGAGTGAGCACCACCGAGCTCTCAGACATCTCTGGCGTGGGGACACACGCAACGCCACTGCCGAAGACAGTCGGTGGGTTTGTTTCCTCTTCTAAAATCTTCTAAAATGCTATTTTACATTCCAGCCTCTTGCCTAGTCTCCTGGGACGGCATGACAGTCCATTAGAACTACTGTAAAGAAGTGTTTTACAGTAGACAATTTACAAACAGGAGGCATGCATTATCAGAGGTCTGGAGGCTGAAAAGCCAACACCCAGGGGCTGACAGATTCACTGCCTGCTGCTAACTGGGCCTCGGTCCCACAGGTGACACCTTCCTTGCAAGTATACATAAAGGAAGGAAGGGACAGAAAGCTCCGCTGTTCCTCTTGTAGGGGCACTGATCCATTTCATGAGGGTTCTCATCTCACGAGTTCATCAGTTTCTAAAAGTACTATTCTTCCACGGACAAGATCTGTGTATGAAATCACATTCAGACTACGCAGGACAAACTCTGATACCACGTTCCTGATGATCCGCTCTACCCTCTCTCCCTCACACCTAAATCCTTGGAAAGTTCTAATCATGTCAGCATTGGTGCCTGGGTTAAGTTTCTCATACACAGAAAATGACTTGGCAATTTCCCTTGTTTTCAACCTTCTCTTCTAGAACACAATGAAGCCAACACGTGCGACGGAAGCTACTTAAGGGATGAAACACGAGTCTCTGCCTTCGAGACGCCAATGTTTTCACTGTCTTGTTCAACCGATGCTTACGGTCACAATCGTCTGTGCCCAGCTCTTGGGTTTCTCTAACTTCCCCAGCACCATGACGCCCTCTCCCTCTCACGCGAGACTTTTCTCCAGTGTTAAATCCGCCGCTTTGCGGCTCCCACTTCCAAGCCTGTTCAACAGGAATTGGGGTTTTGTTG